TAACAAGTTTGCTTTATTAACACACCCACGCTCTTAATTACTGGCGTGCATTAAACGCAACTATTTTCGCTTTTTCCACATATCGAACACAGAATTATTTCATAAATTACTAGAAAATAAACCCTTCGCTTAAGGCAGTTATAATTCTAGTAACTTGGAAATTTAAACAAGTAAACAAATTAAACTCAATAATTTTTAACATTACCAGAATGATCATAGTGGTTTGGTTGATAAAGTCTACGAGAAAGACTTAGAAATTTATACATATGCTAATTTACGATTAATTATTTTTAATCAGATCACAAGTGTAATAATAGTATTACAGTGACAATATTTTGGTAAATCGGTTTCATAGAAAATAAAAATAAAACGAGACATAATACTCTTCCGTGATGGGACATAAATATTTTACAGGATCTAGTTTTAGATAAACCGAAACAATTGGTACAAAAGTCTTCAATTTCTCTCTGTCTCGATCATTTGGGAATTGTTTATTTCTCTGCCATTTGTGGTAATTTATCAGCTGACACCAACACTTTACAAACACAAAATTTAAATAGAACTCATTGCTAACAACAAATTATAAAGTGAAAACGATGCCTAATGGAAGTAATCCATTTGCTGTGGATTTTGAACGTGGAATGCATTGTTAAATTTTTATCGGGAGTTAATAATGTGCTAGTGTCACCGTATTCTATTTTTGTATCCCGACTCAGAAACTTCCCCAAATCAGCTTTGGTTACGTATCGGTGCAGCTTATTCAAACAATATTTATGTTGATGGTAGCCGAGACAACCCATGTATCGAATTAAATTAACCAGTACGTTATCAAAACGAATTACGAGCGTGTTGCATAATTATAAGAGTTAACGTCGCGAATGGCACCCTTTTATATTGTATTCAGAAATTCCCCAGGGAGCATTGATACCCTTTTATGAATATGCAAGTATAACAATTAATTAAAATACCGCAGATAACGCACAAGTCCACATTTGCTCTTCCGATAAGAAATGTAATTCCCTCGGGAATATTTAAACAAGTCATTGGGGTCTTCGCGTAAAACTCTCCAGAGATATGCGACTCTTCAAGATAGTCCCATGAGTACGGGACATATCATACTCACAGGAATTAAAATAATATTTATAAAGTTTCTACTGTTACTTTCTTTTTATGGGTCCGTGTGCGCCCATGACCAACACCCGACTGAAACTTCTTACAGTAATTTGAACAGGGAATTTACCTGCTTGCATGCACAGGATTTTTCTGGCTTGCTTATGCTATTGATGTCAGGCAAATGTAAGCTCTAAAATAAAATCGTAGGGTATGTTATTGTTGGTGAAAATTATTCCGCATGTAACATCCGTAATTATTCGTTTAAGAAAGTATAATGTATTTTCCTGACAATTAATTAATTGCGGGGAAGTACATGCTAATTTATATCAAAGGTATAACTCGTTACATATAACGTGTACGGGAGACTTGCTGACTAAAACCACAACCGAATCCATTAACACTATCTCTGTTAGACTTTGCAAATAAAAATAGAAATGTGCAACATCGTATCCAATAATTAATTCAAAATAAAATTAAAATTGAAGAGCTATTTGGTCATTTGGTGTGTGTTGTGTCATTACAGTTGCATCTATAAAATCCTGTACGTTTTACAATTAAGTCCATAAAATGTACCCAAATCTCTAAACAAACGAATTTGTAAAATACAGGATGTTTCACCTTCAGTGGAGCATTGTCAACAATGACAGAATATAGAACGTCATATTCTCTTCAATTACTCTTAATAAATTATCATTTAAGTATCCAGCTATTTTAATAATCACAAGAAATCCGTGTTATGAACTGTTTTATTTTAACAGTTTTTGTATTTTGTTCATAGAATACATCAAACCAAATAAATACGTCAGATTCATCAAGTATCCGTGGAAAATATCGTGGAGCTTATTATTAATATTTTGTATTATGTAAAATGTGATACAATTATTCTTGAATTAAAACAATGACTGTACTAAAAAGGGAATAAATTAAATGTAGTAATTAAATATAAAAATACATAAGAGACTGTAAATAATTTTTTCTATAACTCCAAAGCATGTATATTATAAAAAATGTAACTTTTTAAAAAATTCTACATTATCACTACTAACACATAACCACATTTAAAAAAAAATGGTCAAAGTTGTTTCCACAAAATTTTTGTGAATCACTGAGCGAGTCGTTCTTTATTTAGTAAATAAATTCTCACATTTGTTTTCATTTATTAATTTTTTTGAGTCACCCTATACATATAAAAGTAAATTAGAAACATATTAATGCATTTATAAACCACAAGTATAGGTTCATAATATTTTGCATATTTTAGATAGATGATGTCATCAATTTTTTGGGAGGGGATACACGGATAAATTTTGATTAACAATCTACAAAGCTTACGATCACCTTAGAACGTTTAGCACTCGGTTTTCAGTTTCAAAGTTAAATTGCAGAGTGTTGTTAAACAAATCTGATTTTAAATAACATTGACTGCTGTAAATTTTCCAAATGACGTCATGTCATTACTCCTAGAAGTTAAAATAAATATATGATTGTGTGAATTGTTAAACTACAATTAAGGCACACTTCAAAGAATCAACAAAATTTTATAATACGACGTTATCAAGTTTTTGGGGGATAAACAGATAAATTTTGGTTTAAACGTTAAAATTCAAGGCGGATACATAAATCACCGATTTAGAAGTATGTTATTTCATAAGCAAAATTTTGACATAACTTCATCAAATTGTTGTTGGAGATGAGTAGACCAATTTTGGTTAGCGTTTCGTCACCTCCTTGATATTCCTAAAGTACACATAAAATTTAACTACAATCAGTCCAGTATTTATCGCTATAATTAAATCGGTATACGCGATAAACAGAGACCTATTTTTTCAAACTCTGTGAGTCACTAGATGGATCCTATTACTAACCTCCACCCGAAAAGTAAAAATGTAAACCTATTCCATATTGACCAATTTGTCTACATACACAGTGAATCCAGTACTAAAATTCCATAAAAAGGCGATTTCCACGCAATAATCTCCATAAACGTTTTAATTTCGGTACTTCTAAACAGCTCAAAAAAAAAAACAATCGGCTAGTCAAAAATTTAATCTCCACTTGCAAGTACCTACTTTTTTCACAAAAGTACATCTAGAACATTAGGAAAGGTGCACCGAGTGTAAAAAACCTGACTCATTCGTTTTTTGTTTATTAATGAATCAAAAATAACTTCACATACATTAACTAATCTACAGTGCACTCTGCATCATAAGGTGCTTGCCTAGCACTTTAGTTCCCCAAGAAATTGCGTTCTCGTATATTTTCATCCTGTTGGAATCTAAATAGATAGAATACAATTTAAATCCAAATACGTAAAGTTGTCATGATTGCATTAATTTAGAAATTACCTAAGACAACCAAAATTACCCAAAACTATTTCATTTCAGCAATGCGCTGATGCAAAACGTAAATACATAGTTGTTTGTGTCAATGTAAACTCAGACAGGAGATATTTGAATAATTTTATAATCTAACAGGATTCTTGTTTCAAATTAATTGTACCTACACGATACTTGAAAATGATGGACCAATCGATTGTCTACAGATATTTGCAGATTAATGGAAAAACAAATTAACTCATCAACTAAGTTTGATTTGATCGTTTATTGTCCAGATAAATTGCTACGTATTGATTAAACTTTGTTTCACTTTAGATACAAATTGACGCAATATTAGTTTATCTAATAAGGTAATAATAGCCAGTTATGTGGGATAAATTCCGTAGTATTTTTAGATCAAAATGGCTTTGTTCTCCAGTTTATATATAAAACCAAAAATAAAAAAAATTAGATTTTATATTAGTGATGTCTTTAATTGTTCTTAATACAACCATTTTTGATCTTATTGGTATTCCATTGCCTTAAAAAAAATTAACTTTTCTTCACTCACTTGTACAATTGAACGGTAAATCTGGGTTGGCTTTAAATTTTGTTTTGAATTGTAGCGTTCTCCAGTTCTGTGCTTCTTTAGGGTGTAAAATTCGGCGAAAAATATATATTTTTATTTGCTACACTTACAATAGAAAATTTAAGTGAACGTGAATCTGTCAAGAGGCATACTTAGCTTAGTGCCGATTTGAGCATCGAGTGACAACTTGACGTCGTTTTTGTTCCAGTATTAAAGTGTCGAAATGCACATTTGTGTCAAGAATGTAAATCTCTTCGCGGTCATTGCAGAAGAATTAGTGTTTCTTTATCCAGACACATGTTGCTCGATGTCCAGTAATCTTACTTGAGCCCTCCACAAAGCAAAGCCAGGGGTTGCGCGTTACATATTCAATTAAACAAAAATCTATCAACTGCTCTAACCTAAAGCACCTTAATCCTACGGCCGGGAAGCAAAGCCTCGCGCAGATAGATGTATGTTGCTATCACCCGTCCTGCTGCAAGGGGCACGAAATAGCCGGATTACTCGGGTCTGGCCGAGGGTAAGTCTGGTAATTATACTAGCTTCGAGGGTTATTCTATGCTCATTGATGACTAGCAATAGTACGTCACCAGTGCGGAGGGACTCGACTCCATAATCCGATCTTATCTCCTGTTGCCATTATAAAACAACTACCAAACTCACGCACAGGACCCCATATGACTCTTATTATCCTATTTAAACCGGACAAAACATCATACCGTGTACCTGGCACGCGAAAAAATTATTTCACAAAACACTTTAATTTGCACAAATTTGAATCTACTTAACATGCAACTTTTTTTCACACCAGAGTGCCATCCTCTGACACACGCACACTGTAAATTTGAGAAATTAATTTTACTCGTGGAAACGAAAATCCTGATGTGAGACTAGCGGCGTAAAACGTTTTATAGTCCTACAAGTTGATCACTCTTATTGAATCAGAAGTGGTACTTGGAGTTAATTACTTTGTTTGTTTGCAGGCTATTGTATACGAGGGACAAGACAAAAATCCCGAGATGTGTAGAGTCCTGTTAACACACGAAATTATGTGCAGGTGAGTTGTACTTTATCTTGTTTACTTTTTAAGCAAACTGTTTTCGTCGGATGCGGAAAATTTACACTTGTGTATAGTATACACAAGATGTACCTTACGAAAATGGGTGAAATATTTCCAAAAACTCGAAAAATTCCTTTCTGTTATTAACTTTGGTCATGAAGTCCTTGGATTCAAAACCTTTTGCTTGGCGATTATTTGTAGATCAAAGCAATACAGATTTTCAAATGTTTGATTACTTATATTAGATAAAAAACAGATGGTCAACTAAAATCAGCTCTTTATAAATGTTAAAAAAGTTTTAATAAACAATCTTCGTTTTAATTTTTTTTTAATGTCCGATATTCTATGTGACATTAAAGCACGAAAGTTAGTTTTAAAATAAATTAAATTTAATGACGTTGTTGGTAAAAGATAAAGGTATTTTGGATAATATACATGAAATACGATGGATTATTGTCATATCAGGTCAGGCTATGTCAGGTCAGGTCAGGTCAAGTCAGCTTAGCTCAGGTCAGATCAGGCGAATATTTACTTGGTCTACCAGATCCTACGTTATTGTCAAGTACTTTGAAATTGAAGTTAGTTAAAAGCTAACCTAAAATCTCATCTTACACAATTTTTTAATCTTCTTTTCAGAATTTTAGAATATTATATTCGCGTACAAAAACAACTGATTATAAGTGACTCTAATTTTAACGATCAGAGAAAAGTTTTGACAGATTTAACATCTGTTAAGATATTTTTCAACTAAAACATTGAAACTTAAAACTATAATTATTTGCAAACTGAACTGACTTGGATCTGGTTGTTTTTTGGGATCTATGTAATTCCTTCTACTTCTTGAGAGTAAGCTATTTAATGCCACCGTCATAAAAAAAATTTAAATTTATAACTCTAGTTTTACTAACGTTAACAGTGAAATAAAAACCTGTGCGTTGGAACAGAGGCACTATACCGGGTGTCTCGAAAATAGCGGATTAACTCTCTGTTACGTTCTTAACAAGCAACTAGTGAGCCTGGGAAAAATAGTGAAAAAATCCTTCTCACATTTTGGTGGAGTTATAATGATTTTAAAACTGGTTCTTTGGCTACGTTTAACAACTAAACAACACATCCATTATCACAATAACTAAGTAGTAATAAAACTTTTAGTTGATATTTCTCTCGCCCATGACCATGTTTAATTATTATCATTTCAGTTAAAATGTACAAAGATATAGTTGTGTTGTTTTGGTAATAATTTGATAAAATTCCATCTGGCAACAATGTTTTGCCTGATATAAAGCGAAAGTATAAATCATTATGTCATTTGCCAAAATCGGTCTTATTTTAGCAGGTACTAGCCCCGCCCACCCGCTTTCTATTTTCTTAGAGTGATCTTATTTGCCAAAATCAGTATTATCCTAGCAGGTACTAATCCCACCCATCCACCCTCTCTCTTCTTAGAAGGTAGCTCATTTGCTAAAATCGGTCTTATTTTAACAGGTACTTGCCGCGCCCACCCCTCTCTATTTTCTTAGAGGGATCTCATTTGCCAAAATCAGTTTTATTTTAGCAACTAGTGATGACTAACTTTTACAAAAAATGATCAAAATTTGGGAACATTACGAGCTTACTTACATGGACAAGGCAGGAATTTTGAACTCCCGAAACCTCCGTACTGAAGAGTTAATCCGTCATTTTCCAAACTCGGTATAAAATAGTGGATTTTGAAATAGATTTCTAACCAAAATAAAATACTTCTCTCGCCCCTGAAGTACAGTAGGACATATCCAACTTTTTCGAAAAATTATAAAATTTGATTTTGAGAATTTAAATTTTTTATAATTATTAATTACACTCACAAGCTTAAATACAGGTGCAGTTTTTCCATTACAAGATTTTGTGATGACGTCATCAACATTTTACCAATAGTACTGTATTGCTCTTGCGCACTTTAGATAAGATTTATTCGGTAAAATTGTGGGGTGACGTCATCGATTTTGGGGAGGAGGAACGGATAAATTTTGGTTATCGATTTACCATGCTTACGATAATCTTAGGACGTTTTTTCTTATGGAAAAATTTCACAACATAATATATTATACAATTCTGATTTTTTTTCCAAAAATTTGGATGTTTAGGGTAAAAATCAAGACAATAAGTATAGGAATATTTTATTTAATAAAATTGAAATGACATTTACTATGTATCATTTTGAGTTGATCCCATTACGTTGTTGGTGACGATGACTAGACAAATTTTAGTTAGCATTCACCATCTATAGGATATTCCTAAAATAAAAATCAAATTTGAGAACGATCGGTCCAATAATTTCGGAAATTATCTGTCTAATAAAAATCAATAAGGCAGACAGAAACAGACGACGAACAAACCGAAATGGGAGATCTATTATTTCGTATTCTAGAATTATGAAGAAAACGTAAAAGCTTTTCCTTTTTCGACATTTCATGACCCCTAGAGTACGAAAAAATATGTCTCCCGATTCCATCTGTCTGTCGTCTGGCGTCTGTATCAATTTTTATTAAACAGATGATCTTCGGAACTACTAAACTGATTGTTGTTCCAAATTCTCTGCACAACTGACTAAAAACACAACTTTTTCATCACAGTAGTTCTTTGTCAAAATGTAAATTTTTTATCCACAGTCTAGACCAATAGCGCTAATTAATAGTATAATAACTAGAATTTATTATGAGCGAAAATCAACTAGACTTGTTGAAAAAAGCAAATATCTTTCGTAAATTAATATAAATCCAATCTATAAATTATTTTATTAGCGAAATTTAGTGGTATAAAAATATGGTGTTTAAATTGGCTACACTTCGTCAAGAAAACTTAAATGTAATGCGCCAAGATACCATTTCGTGTGATAAACTATTTTACGATTTATAATTTAAGAGCTATTTTAGTTGATCAAATAAAATATTTTCTGTTTTACTAAGGACATTTACTCAAAAATCTTTCATTATATTTTCCTCGAATTTCTTTTGCAAACATAAACTTTAAAACAAATTTTTCGTCATATGATAGTTTGACGTTAATGACCAAAGTTAAAACTTCATCACTGTTAAACAGTTGCAAATTGGGGAAAACTGTTTTAGAGCTGAAATTATTTCATCATACACTTTGTATAAAGCGAATTTCAGCGAACACCAAAATGTTCTAACGCCAACATTTTCCGACGAATTCTTAGAACGACCCAGAAAATAAAGTAGTTTAAATTTTGGCAAGTCTTATCGAACCAACTATTTTTGCCTAGTTTTCCATAAATTTTACAGAGACGCCACTGCATCTTGAAATTGTGTTAAATATTCTTGGCACAGTACGAAACAAAGTTAACATACATCAGATAAGCTGTTCTTGAGTACGTATTATCTTAAAACAATAAATTTGGTCGACTAATAAATAAATGTATTTTTGAGAAGATTGTTACGTAAAGTGGCTGAATATAGTATGTAAATAGCTTTAGCCTAAGCAGAACAGCACTGCTTCTTTGCTACGATAAATGAAGTCAGGAAACTGCAGGTGCATGAAATGTGCCGGGAGATATTGGATGCAGTGGTGTGTTTCTCTTGCGCCATTGTAGGTGTCTCAATATTGGAAAGCTTTTGTGTAGCGTGTTAGTATGTAAAATTTTTGTTCTTCTTTAAAGAAGTTGACGTGGTTGGTTCGATGATGTAGTCACGAGAATCCCTAAATATCTTTCCCCTATAGTCTTGTATAATGCTGGCGGGTAGCGGGCGGGAGAGACGGGCTGATCCCTCGGGAGTCTGTCTTTTCCCTATTCCCTTGTCTTGCCATAACAAACATCGCTCTCATTCGCCAATCTCGGCACACACCATTGTGCATTTTCATCTTCCTTACATATTTGACGTTGAAGTCACATCAAAATATGTTAGCACTTCATCTGATGTAAACAATCTTCTTCAACAGTTTTACTACAGATGACAAACGACTTTACGGAAATTTATCTGCTTATATATTTAGAGAAATGTTATTCCATCTCGAAACAAACTTCCGCTCCGAGCCTTGTAATTAATTTAGCCGGATTTTTTCTGTTTCAGTCGTTGCTGCGACAAGAAGAGTTGCGGGAACAGGAATGAAACACCATCAGACCCTGTGATAATAGACAGGTAAATCTTTTTTTTTTCTGTTGCTGTTGTTGAAAGAGAAAAACTCGATCACGTCAAAAGTCCATCGCAATTTTCTCAGCCGGAATTGTGCACTGCTGATAGGAAGGGGATAGCTACAAAATGGTGTCCCGAGGGAGAGGAGATAGACAAGGGGAAGACGACATCTTGTGGGCAGACGGATATCGCGGTGTTGCAAATGGGCGAGCCAAGCTCCCTTAAGATCGTACAGCAATTCGTTGACTAGACCATAGCATGCGGTCATGCAATATTCCGGTCGACCGAGAACGACCTGTCACTTCCGTTATCACCGACAATTAGTCCGATAGCCTATTAACGAACATCTCGTGGCAATGCGCGGTCACTCTAATCGAATACATTTTAAACCAACAACGTTTTGTGGCAAGCTGCATGATCGTTACGACATTATAGATTTAGAGCCGCTCCGAGCCAATTTGGCCAACTGCAAGCGGCACGGAACAAAAATTCGTCTTGTTACGGCGACCTAATAGGTGGAATAACTGAAACTGACCATGACAAACAAATTTGAACTGTATGTACCAACTCTTGGATTTCAATTTACTATAGGGCGTTTTGCTGAGAAATAAAAATAATAGTTATTACACTTAAGCTTTAAGTTTATGTTCCAAAGTTAAGTGCATCGGAAGCAAACTCAACTCTGGATTTATTTTTGCGTCATTACAGTATATATATGCATCCGGAAATTATATACCTACCGTCCACACGCATATATTAACGATTCGTTATTCCATTAGTTAATTAACTGTTTCTATCTACTATTGTCAAGACGGAAATAGCCATCTATGGAACGATTCATTTATAACTAATATCAATTTCCTTTGTATAAGTGTTTATTTTATAAGCGATGAAATTAAAAATGCTATTTAAAATTTTTATCATGACATCCAAGTTTGAAAACATCTATTTAGAAGAAGCAGGGGGGCAACTTTTACACCATCAGACAACAATATACTTACACAACAAATCTATAGTTTAGGACGAACTTGGGGGGATTCGCTAATCTACAGCCTTTAAAGCAGAGATTCCATAGCGGCGTTAATAAATAATAAGTCTCGCTTTTGTGTAAACACTTGGTCATTCTGGAGGGTAGATCTTATGGCTTATACTCTGATTTGCATCTTTGGCTATGCTTTAGTCTCCATCTAGATTATTATTTCGCGTTAAGTATCTTTAGAGACCCGAATATTGTCCACATTTTAGACGTTTTCGACCAATTTCTAGTATCCACTTGAGTCCTGAACTAATGTTATTTTTGTTTTTTTGTGTTTTAAAATTTATGTTTAAAAATTTGTTTATTCTCTGACCTTAAAATAAAATAAAGTGAAAAAATTCGTGCTAGCGTGTTGACCAGTTCACTTAAGTTAATGTTCCCGTGTGTTATTGTTTGTAATTTAAAAAAATAAATTTAAAAACCACCCCTTTCTGAAGTGTGTGTTACGCTACTGACTGACCGTCCGTTGTCAGATTCTGTTGACTCACCAAGTGTTTATTTATGTTTATACATCGAAAGAATGTCACGTAGAAATTAGTTTCATTTGAATGAGTTTGTCTTTTCAAAACACAGGACTAAAATTATTAATTAAGCCACAATCGAACAAAATGTTCGCAATATTATCATTTTTATTTTCTCATTATGAAAATGGGGTGACTCGTTCTTAATTTGACCGATAAAAAAATTGTGACGACGTCATCAACATGGATAATATTAGTCACAGCACAAAAGGAAAGTACTCACAGCGTATTACCAGTGCAACTAAAAACAAGAGCGAGGGAAGTTGTGTATAAGTAACTCTAGACCACATTTTTGTTCAACATTCAGAGATGTAACAAACTTTACACATGACGCTTGTTTATTTTGGACGAATTGTCTATATGTCGGGGCGCGACAGCGACGGTCAGTCCGCCGATAAGCAACTAATGTAGTACACGTTAGTCTTGTAAAATTTCCGGGAGAGATTTTTTTATGTATTCATTTTGAATCATATCGTACCAACAATAATGGAAAAATATGAATGCGTTGTAAAGTACATGGATAAACTACAGTGTAATAATTACACTCATCTATCTATTCTATTATTGTATTCTCACATTGTGAAAATGGGAAATGCTCTTTCTGATTTGAAGGGGGAAAAAAAAGTTGGAAACGCCGGGAATCGTACCCGGTTCTTCTGTTTGGAAAGCACGTTTACATATTGCTGAACCGTTTTCTGGGAGACCTATTTATTCGTACTCTAGAGGTCATGAAAGGTCGAGAAAACGTAAAAGTAGAAAGTCGGCCGACGGACTGAATTACAATACTTCCTTCGCTTACGCTCGGGAAGTAAAAACAAGGAAGCTCATATTTTGTACATAGAAACAAGGTTTTTTGTTCTATATATCCGAACGAATCACTAATTGCGCGCTCCTCGACATCTCATTAATTATTATTAGAGGTAGAAAAAAAAAAGTCAAAGACTAAAATTGTACGGGTCTTTGAGTAGCATACATTAAAATTATTCTTGAAATTTTTTTAGCAAGGCAAGGGAGACAAAAATCTTGCAATAACGTTATTTTTAAGATTTGTGTTGCAATATTTTATCGAGAGGTAAACAGAGATACGGGCGTAGTTGTCATTGAAGTGAATAAAATTTTAATATACAAAGTGGTTATAAAAAATAATTCTACAGTTTTCAAATGTCGATATTTTAGTTTTTTCAAACAGAACACCCTGTGTTTTATTACCGCATCTGACTCTATTTTTTGTCCTTACGATATGTCGGTGTGCTCGTTAAAGAAGCAAAAAGTTAAAAAACTGCTAACTTTAAATATAAAGAATACTTAACTAGAAAGAAAACGAACAAAAAATATGAAATATTGTGCCTGGGTGCTGAAATAAAACATCAGAATACTTTCCCTATCACTTGGTGTATCTATTAAAACTGTATTAAACAGTTTTTTGTTCTAAATACGGTAGAGTACAGTTGAATCCAGCTTAACACAATTTTTTTGTATAGATAGAATTCACATGAAATACCGGTATTCCAATATTTATTTATTCATTTATCAAATGTGTAAGTAACTCCATTGTTGATTGATAGTATTTTAGGTTACAGGGTGTTTCACTTTTGGTAAAACACCCCCGTATTTTTCTATTAACTGCTGAAATTTGGAATACCCACACATTATTTAAAAAAGAATATTTTAGAACTATTAAATACACATAACAAATATAAAATATATTTAAGAACATGTTTTCATAAAAATTTTGCAACTATGCAACTTACAAACGTGATCATGTCGTTTAGATGACACTTAACAGTTGTTAAGAACTCGTGACAGAAGTTTTTTAACTCCATAAAAGAAAATTTGATTATTTCCTTTCCGAATTATCAACAACAACAAAGTTTTTGCTAGTTCCAGAACAGTTGTTGACAATTTGTGATCCTGTGTAGTAGGAGATGCTTTAACAATCTGAAATACTTTACATGTAATATTTGTTCAATCCGTCTCAGACTATTGGAACCCATAGTGTAGAATAAATACATGTGGTTAAAACCGTATTTGTGCAGAACGAATGGATTAAATTTATGTCGTATTAACTACATTCCCAAAAGTATTAACATTAATCTGTGTAATGTTTGCTTAGCTTTAATTTCTTTAAATATACCTTATATTTTTTATTTTACTGAATTAATAAATTATTAAATAACACTTGTGATACATGGGCAGTTTCGAAATTTTTTAAATTTAAGTTGTCACAGTTTATATTATAAATAGCAATTCATTTTATGGTTCATTTTTCCTTTAAATAGCAATTGTTGACAATCTACTATGGATGAAGTGTTTTTTAACGTTTATTCACGTTTTTCAAATCAACCAAAATATTAATTAAGTGTTATGTTTATAAACAATCCATTTTTTAGATTTTATTTTTGGTAGATATAAACTAATACACCGTAAAGAAACATATTATTACTCCTATTATTAATTTTTAAAAGTAGAAAGGTAAACAGACTTTTGTATTCAACCTATTATTTTGATTTTTTTAATGGTTCAGTTTCATCAATTAGCGTTTAAACACAAATTTCAAAAATTTTAAATACACTGCCTGAGGAACGTGCTGTGTACCAAATCATGCGTGGTAGTAAATGACTCTATTGCAAGTTACAAAATCTTTATTCAGGCTTGAATCAACTCGAATAACTTCGATATATAAACTTAAACCTTAAGTACAACCTTACTTTTGTTCAAACGTAACTTGAGCATGACCAAAAACTTCATAGATAAGTTTAAACTTATTACAAAGTTAAAATTTTTATTCATTTATCTTAGGGTACAGACGCCGGATTTACACAGCATAAGCTTATACTCGGATTCATTCATACAATTTTTGTTTAACCAGCAGTTCCTAAACTAATCATAAAAAAAGTAATGACAACTGTGCGACAATCCACTCTGTACAAGTTGAAACAAATATTACGACGTAACTTACGTTTCTGCCGTTTTTATGGCCTTGTTAGTAATGGATTTAACAAAAGCGTAATAAATCACAAACAGAAAGCAATCATAGATTAGAACAATAGACTTATTGAAAGTATTAGTTCTGCAGTAAGGGAGGCTAACAATGAAGCTTTACCTGATACTTAACCTAGGAATCAGTTGTTTTAGTAAAAGTAATCGCTGCTACTTCATTCACTTCAAGATATTTTTTTTTTCAAAAAGTGTTGTACATCTGCTGATAATGAAGAGAAAAATAAGCACGTTTATTCCCTGTGAGTATTACAAAGTGAATGTATAACAGACGCCTTCTTCGTGCCACTAAGTTGGGCGCCACTTTTTATAACACGTGGTTTATTCCGTAAAAACTTTATTCAACAAAACATAGTATATACACTGCATAGACATAGACTGGTTACACGAGTTCTTAAAAATGGTCACTCCGCGGACGAACAGTCCTGATAACTCGTACACTCGCGAACACC